AAAGCCTTACATTGTAACGGTAAGCTAACACGCTTTTCATAAACTGGAGCATAGTAAAACGAACAAGTCGGGACACGGAGCGTGTATTTAATTTAGGAAAAGACGATCCAGGTTGAGTGGGAAATTATTAATACTCTGCGTAGCATAATACATTATTCTTTTGCTCTGTCTCTAATTCAGTATTAGCAATAGTAATTCTCTGTGCATTGATATATTATTTGCGATACAAGTTAACTCTGGAGAATAGTACTTCACGAATACTCACGAGAGTATTATAATTACACCATGGACGTAGTAATTTGCTTAACAATTACACTTTTTAAAACGGCAAAACGGGCGAAATAATTCTCCAGTGCATCAATTCCAAACCTCAGTTTCATATCGACATACTCTGTTATTCATTGCCTAGGCGCGACGTTCAGATATTTATAGGTAATGACTAAGCCTGTATTCGAATTATTTTTCTGTAACAAGCGGAAAGTGTATCCAATAACTTTTGCTCTTTACCCGCTGGTACTATAAACAATGCTATTCCCGTTGTGTAATATTTACTATGGATGGACGATATCATTCGACGGTTGAACTTTAATCATAAAATAATAAACCGTTTATTTAAAATTAAATTATACCGCCCAGCTAATCTTTTTTTTTTAATTAGCCGCCGCAATCAATTTGATTTTCCAAGCATGCAAAGAAATGAATGTGTAATATTTTAGTATAAAAAAAAGGACCTGGACTTTTTATATTCGAGTTGGCAATATGTAACAAGTGAAGGAAAGTCAATTTATATAATTAGGTCATTATATTCTCAGCACGACTTTATTATAGCCCGCATGTACATGCTAAAAATAAGTTTAATATTATTATCTAAGTATATGAACAGATGAGAGAAAAAAGAAACATATTCTTTGGGTCGTGAATATTAACTAATATTATCATTACTGTTATCGTTATTTTAAAATTACTGCTATTGCGAATTATTTTTCTGTTAGCGCTACTCGCCATTACTGTTACTAGATTCATCTTTTTCACTTCGATTTTGTCCAATAATGTTCTCTGCGGCCCATAAAAATGACCGGAGGATTAGTAGTCAATGATTTCAGTTACTTCAGCTGGTGCTTTTATTTAGTATTTTATTTAGTACATCATTCTGAGCTTGTGATACAAAACTATTCAGTTACCGGCGAATATCTCTTAATTATCAGTTAGTCTTACGATGATTATTTTGTCAATAGCAAGTTCTCTTAAAGTCTACCGTGGTAAGTGAATAAAATCTTGTATTTTATGTAGAACTAACACGTTTTGGCAACAACTATTCGATCTGCTAGTACTAATAGTAAAGTAACATTTTATTAAATTAATATTAACGGCTCTGGTGTGACAGTAAACAATTTCACATTGTCTGTTATATTAATAGTCATATGATGCTTATTGTTATTCCCTGCCGTTCTTTTATTATTGAGTTCGGAATTTGTGTATAAAAAAATATCAAGAAAAAGGACAAAGTTGAAAAAATAAGAAAATTACTCAACGGGAATCGACAAAATTATGTAATAGTAAACAAAACACAAATTATATAAAAAAAGAGAGATTATATAAAAAAGAAAAACAAATTATATATAAAAAACGGCATAGTCAAACTCGATATAATAAAGTCGACGGGCTGGGGGTAATGGTTTAAACTATAAAGGTTTTATTTTATCGAGGATTATGTATAATATTAAAAATTCGGGGCGGGAAAATTCTTTATCTTAGAGTGATTTTATATTAAAAGTGACTATTTTATCGAGTTTGACTATGTAATTGATGAGGATCGCACCATATTAATCGATATGCTGTGCGACCATAAGAGAAGTGTCTGAATTATTGACTATCATTACTCTCTCAAACGCATATAGCGTGGAAAATGTCATCATTTGTTACCAAAAGAATGACCGAACGAGAGGAAGAGTTCACAGAAGTGCAGACTATTAGGTTTTTGTTATAATCATTTTCTGATGGTATTTAAATTATGCGCATTTATTTCTAAGATACTTATCGATAGGCTAATTACCGGCACCTATAATGTTAATGGACAGTTTGCACCAGACAATCTGTCAGTCTGGCTCAATCCCGATTACGAGCCTGATATATATGCTATAGGGTAGGTTGTTGGACGTTATGTGCCGGTAAATTTATAGTCTAACCGGATGGTTTGATGATTTGCTTTTTAGGTTTCAAGAATTAGATCTTTCTCCAGAAGCCTATCTTCTTTATGATGGGACCAAAGAGATTGAATGGACTCACGCGATCCTTTTAGGATTAGGTGAAAAGGCCAACAAGTATTATAAGGTAGTTGCATAAATTGAAAGCGATTCGATTTGTACAATTTTCTATCGACTCACTAGATTTTTTGTTTGTATTATTAGCTCGTATCGAAACAGCTGATTGGCATACTCCTAATGATCTTTGTGAAAAAGGAGCAACTTCCCAACATTAAAGATGTACAAACAGATTCAGTTGGAGTTGGTATGTTGGGTGTGATGGTATGAATTTGAAAGTTGGTACAAGCTCAATTGTCCGTATTTGATCGCTATTGCTGTATTCTATGCCAACTTCTTATGTTTTTTTGCTCGTGCATCCTGTCATACACAGGGAAATAAGGGAGCAGTAGCAGCAAGATTACGATTCAGAGACTCTTATCTCTGTTTTGTATGTTGTCATTTGGCTGCCGATCCCGGTCAGCTAGCTAGGCGAAATCAAGATTACTTGGAAATATGTCGCAGACTAGGGTTTTCCATTAATACAATGGCCTCGTTTCCTTCACCGTATAGTTGGGTTGCTGCAAATTTGCCAGTACCCGCAGCAGCAGCAGCAATGGCAGGAGTGGGAGGAATGATTACTGGTCGTGGGAAAGATAATGCGGGTTTGGTATCTATATTTGATAGTGAGTGAGTATCGCATTGACGTAAAATTATTTTACATCGATGAGTTTGTAGACTGATGCAAACCCTTTCTTTGTTAGTCATCTGATTTGGATGGGAGATTTGAATTATCGTATCGAAACTTTGCCAGAGTCTGAAGTGAAGTCTATGCTCGAGAATGATGAAATGCAATTATTGCTAAATTTCGATCAGGTTAGAGCTTGCATAGTTTTTCGAGCGGAACACGCTATGCGAATTATGTACCAATTTTTTCGTTCGTTGAACATTTACAGCTTAACATTCAGAGAAGAGCCAAGTTGGCGTTTAACGAGTTCGAGGAGGGGAGTATAACCTTTCCACCGACGTATAAATATGATATAGGAAAAACCATCTACGATACAAGGTAGGCGGGTAGTAGGGTGATAGTCTTTGTTGACTCGAACGCGATTACATATATACTCCACATACGTGTCATGTTTATGATTTTATTTTACTTATCAATACGGTTTTTTACCAACTATATAGTGAGAAAAGAAGATCTCCAGCATGGACAGATAGGATATTGTGGAGAAGCAAGCAAAATGATTTCATCAAACAGATATATTACAAAGATCACATGGAAATTGTAGCGAGTGACCACAAACCGGTTAGTGCCGCGTTTGAGATGAAGGTAAGTTGTTGTATTCGAGGCCTGATTGATACTCGATGGCATTTACTGACATTATTAAAGGTCAAAATTATACACCCAGACAAACAAGCTAATGTTCACAGTAGCGTGGTTAGAGAATGGGACAAGCTCGAGAATGAGCGTATACCAGACGTAGCTGTCTCTACTAATCAAGTCGATTTTGGTAAATTGACGCCAGATATGCTACCAAAGAGCGAGATTCTAATGATAGAAAACATTGGCAAGGTACTTGTGCTTCAGTGGCTCGTTATGTAGAAGCAAATGATGATATTCTTAACTTGCTTTTTGTTTAAGGTGCCTGCCAAATTCACGTTCATTCCCAAGTTTGGCGAGGCTTCCGTCAGTCAGTCATGGTTGAATGTTGAACCCGTAAATGGGGAAATATCATCAGGTACATGTCTGTGCTGAAAATTAACATGTAAGTTTATTGTGCCCTCATCGCATATTGCTTTTCTTGTTTATTAACAGGCAACAAACAGGATATAAAACTTACGGTGCAGTCAACAACTGATGAACTCAAATTTGAGGATATTCTAATTTTACACATAGAACATGGGAAGGATCATTTTATAACTGTTACTGGTGAACAATAAACTATAATTATATAACAATCTATTAACTATGTGGAAAGGCCTAATGGTAGTTTGTAGAATGTAGAATCAAAAGAGAACAAGTTGACCACACATGATATCATTCGAAGTTAAACACTTTGATGCAATTTTTCTCTTGTAATAAAAAAGAACGGCTTCCTACTTTCATAAGCGTAGACATTATTTCTAGACACCATTATTCTGCATCTCTTGAGCCAAACATTCGCATCCACCGGAAGTCTCCATCCTCTCTGCGTTCAGTTAAACATGTGATACACCCACATGTCTCCGGAGCTTCGTTCTTACAATGAATTTTCCAACATTTCCCACAGAATTTCCTTAGCAACGGAATCGGAGTAATGTTCACCATCCCACCACGAAAGTCTCTATCTACTCTATCTGCTCTCTCAATAGTTATTGTTAGAAAATCAGAATATCGTATGTAGGCAATATTTTCTATTATTTCGGGAAGATATGCAACCGAATTGGAAGAAATAAACCGCCCGCAGAGTTCGCAGAGATAGCCTGATCGAAGGTATTCACGAACCGTATTTGTCACCAAGTGTCCAGCCAGCAAATTTACATTCAAGTGTTTGTAATAAAATGACGATGGAGATTCGAAAGATGTTGAACAATGAGCAAATATGTATGGCGGTTTGCAAGACATTTTTCCGACTAATATATTCCGTGCACATAGATCCATTAATCGAGGAATGTAAGTAGTGTCTTGCATCTGAACATTGGTCCCGATCTTATGCGCGTTGGCTTTACGTAGAGGATTAAGTTCTGTTCCAAGAAGACTTGTTGTCTTTGGAATTTGAACTATATATGAGGGAAATGATGTGAATTGGTTATGCGATATACGGAGTACTATCAAGTTTCTGAACAGCAAAATCTCTGGTGGTAGGTCTAAATAGCAATAGAACAAGTAAATAATAATCCATTCTTAATGATCGTCGTGTAGAAAGACATCTTTACCGGTTAGATTGTTTTTCGACAAATCTAAAACAGAAAGAAAGTCTGGTTCCCATCTTGAGGAGTCCAAAGTCTTTGAAAACGAATTGTAGTAGCTAGCCACACAATCCAGCAATCTCAAATTCCACGGATATTGTGACAGTTTCATTTTTCTCAAAGACAACGTCTTATGTGGAGAAATCATCAATAGTCGTTCTATCTCGTTTACGACCTGAGTTTCTTTCGACGAATCAACTGGCGGAGGCTTCTATTTAAATATGAAATTATGAGTAGACCGTTTTGAAATAAATTCTTCGACGTATGCATTGACAAAATACCATTTCGTATAACGCAATTATCCCCTCCCACATTTTTAATAGATTTTGTGCTTTTTGTTGAACGACAGTACAGGCTTTGGCTTCCGTTGTCTTGAGCTTCTTTCGATATTCCTTGTTGTATGATGCCGACGTTATGAATCGATTGAGATCGAGAATAAACCTGGCTGATAAACATAAAAACGCGTAAGATATCTCTTGGCCATGATAGTCAATGACTCTTGACTAGAATACATACCTAGAACGGGCGTAAAGATATCCAAAGATGTCAAGTTTGATTTAAGGGATGTCTCAAGTGCCTGTATTGCTAAATATAAAGGAAAGCTTGATCAGTTGCCAACTTTCAGCATAATCACATCGGCTTTAAAAAATAAAATAAAACAAACATCTCGTCTTCATTTACCACTCAAAAGTTCACTCCAAACCTTTTCTCCCATATCTTCACTATCAAGAACCCGACGTGCATTGATCACCGGTAGCATCCACTTCTCATATTTCTTGTGCATAGACAGCCGGTGGGTATCCTCTTTGTTATCGATTTGTTGTAAATATGCTGCGTACTCGGTTTCATCTTGATCTGATCCGTCAGTTTCGGATTCACTCTGCGATGGGGAAGAAGATAGTGAAGTTCCAGAGGATGACGAATGCGAGACTGGGGCTAAGGTGCGGGGACCGGTTGTACGGTAGTTTTTAACAATCATTTATTCTTTGATCAGTCAAACCAATGGGACACATATTTTGATCGTTTAAACACGAGATCGATCGTCTTATTAAGAAACACCCATTAAACTATCCTAACAGCAAATAGTAACAAGTCGAGCATGACTTCTGTGTTACATCTCCCGCCATTTGTACAGTCCAAAATGGCGCAGAAATACTGCGTCTTTTTTTTGCCGTAACGTCACCATTTTCTGATTTAGGCCATTTGTTTATATTACAAAATTGGATAATAAAGTGTTAATTGCGACTTTTGTTATTGTTTACATTTCACCTTTACCTGCAAACGATGCCAAGTCCTCTTGAAATACAACGAAACGCCGTTAAGTTGCTTTGGCAACAAAACGTGCGTAATGCAAAAGAAATTTCCCAACAATTGAGAATTCCCTTGCGCTCATGCGTACGATACGTTAGTATATTGAATAAAAAACTGGCAATCTTTCTATAAATCATTCACCTGGTCGCCCAAGAAAGTTGTCTCCTAAAAAACGCCGCCATATTGGAAAAATCTTGAAACACAACCATTTCACCACAGCAAGCGAGGAAATGAATAATCCTACACTTGAAGTTAGTGAACGTGCAATACGTCGTGAGCTGAAAAACCTTGGTTATATTTCTATTCTTTCAAGAAAAGTGCCTCTCTTGACCAAAAGAGCGAAGGACGTCCGCTTGTCTTGGGCACGCGATCATTTACGTTATAATTGGAAGAAAGTTATTTTTTCCGATGAAACAACACTCCAGATGTTTAGCAACACCATCCGTGCATGGTCTCATGATGCACAACCAATTGCCCCTATGGTAAAACATCCGTTCAAGGTTTACGTTTGGGCGGCGATTAGTGCTAAAGGAAAGGTTGGTCATCTGTTCACCGAAAATTTAGATCGTCATTTATATCGGAAAATTTTAAACGATCAATTGTATGACAATGCGAATGCATTACATGGGCATCGACGGGTATTGCCATTCACAAGTATCTCTTACAGAAAGGGTTGACATTGATATTAAGAGAGCTGATTAATGGAGACAACAATTTGGCTAAAGTGTGGTGTTCGTATTCAATGGGAAAGGGCACAGGATAGGAATTCGAAGAGGAAATCTTAAAATGCAATTATCGAACTTGGCTACATTTGCCCCCCTTTTTCTGGTTGCAGCAAGAAGAATTTACGCCAAGGCTGTAGTTTATTTCCTTGCTGAGCTTAAGACCTCACCTCAACTCCAGGAACTTTTACAAATTGTCTGTTCTGTAAATCTCACTGAAAGAGAACATTATTTCGCCTTTGATGAGGCACTCGAATTTTTTGGAGTTAAATATGTTAAACAGACATAAAAAAGATTATTAGCGATGAGGACCTTAAGCTTCAAATAAAGTCAGTACAGTCTGAGAGAGCAATTACGGACATTTTGTTCTCAATGTTTAATATTAATTATTATAAAGATCAGTATTAGTATACGTCGATCATAATTGTCCGAAATTTATGCATCCAATCACATTTTTTATAGAAACACTTATAGTATCGATTATTTATAGAAACGCGTTCATTGATATTAATACGCGTTGTTTGATATAATTTACATTTCTCTTGTTGACTTTTTCTTTTTACTATATCTGTTACGGTCGGCGTATTTAATTAGGGAGATTTGTGGGAGAGCGAACTGGCCGACAGGGAAATCTGACTCAATTAGCTCAGCTACCGCTGCCCTTACTACAGCGACAGTATCAACTAAGACTGAATGCTAAGCTACAG